TTGAGTCGGACAGAGGACCGCCGGGTCAGAGCTGTCCCAACAGGACCCACAACAACAACAACCAGGAACAAGCTGCCCTGATTGTCCTGACACGTGCAAGCCTTCGTGTTGGCATCAAAGGTTTATTATTTTTTATAAATGAGTGAAGTGCAATTGTTGCATCAAGTGCTGAGAGTATAGTTAGTTTAATAAGAAACTGACAAAATATTTGTCAAGGAGACTGTGACCTTAGCTCTAAAATCTCCGAGGTAAAACCCTTGTGTGTATCAGAAAGAGCAGGGAGAATAATCCTCAGGCCTGTGCTGATAGTGCGATGAGCGCTTCATCTCGTTTGTCTCTAGAGCAGACCAGAAAGTTCTGCAAAGGGTGATGGTTTCATTGGCTAGGAAAACGAGTTTGTTAGATAAATAAATATCAAAAAGAATGGGTGTTCTTTCAGGAAGAATGTGTCCTTCTCAACACAAACCTGCTACGGAACTACCGAATGAACAAGATCAACTCATGTCAGGGCAGAGAGAAGCCACGCAGTACACGGATCAGCTCACGTCGGGGCGGAGAGAAGCCACGCGATACACAGATCAGCCCATGCAGGACACAGAGAAGCCACGCAGTACACGGATCAGCTCACGCAGGGTCAGGGAGAAGCCACACAGTACACGGATCAGCTCACGCAGGGTCAGGGAGAAGCCACACAGTACACGGATCAGCTCACGTCGGGGCAGAGAGAAGCCACGCAGTACAAGGAGCAAGGGGACGCTGCATGGTTTAAAGTCAGGAAGGGTGTGCGTCAGGGTTGTATCCTTGCTCCATACCTAGTCAGTCTGTATGCTGAATAAATTGTTCATGAAGGTGGACTCATTGAAGGGAAACGTGGCATCAGGATCAGAGGAAGACTCATCAACAACCTGCATTATGCAGATAACACCTCCCTGCTTGCTGAAAATGAGGAGGACCTGAAATGCTTGTTGCAGAAGGTGTGCATTACCTGTCAATATCAAGAAAACAAAGTTCCTTACCACCAGACCAACAGTCAAACATTATGATAGACAGAGAAAAGATTGAAGCTGTCAATGATTTCTTCTAACTTGGATCTACAATCTATACACCCTTGGTAACAACAGTAAAGAAATCAGAAGACGTGTTGTATTGGGCAAGTCCACCATTAGGGACCTTTCCAAAATGCTGAAGAACAATGATGTCAGTTTGAAGACTAAGGTGTGCCTGATTCAGGACATGGTCTTCTCAATCACCAGAGAGCTGGACAATATATAAGAATGACAGAATAATTGAGGCCTATGAGCGTGGTGCTGGAGAAAAGTGCAGAGTATCCCATGAGCTGCCAAAAGAACAAACATGTCTTGGAATAAGAGCAACCAGATTTCTTGTTGGAGGCAAAGATGGCAGCGCTTCATCTCTCGTACTGCGGACGTGTGGCTAAGTGAGGCTAGTCCTTGGAGGACATCATGCTTGCAGAGATGGAAGGGAGGGTCAGCAAGAGAGGAGACCCTCAGTGACAGGTTGGCCTGAGGGCGTCAGCATGAGCTGTAACGTGTTGGAGACGATGAGGATGGCACAGGGTAGGGTCGGGTTCAGGGCAGCGGTTCTTGGGTCACTGTGAGCTGTATTTGACTCAACAGCACCTAACAACAAAAAACCAAATGAGCAACATTAACATAATGGACACATCACACACACAGATACAGATACAGATGGGACACGTGGAAGGCAGGCTGTTAACGCCACACTGTCCAAAGAAGAATCAACTGTGTCCTGGGTGAAGTGTGGCCAGAGTGCTTCTTAGAGTCAAGGACTAAGGCATTTCGTCTCACATAGGCTGGGTATGTTGTCAGGAGGGGCCAGTCATTGGAAAAAGACATTATGCTGGGAAAGACAGAAAGACAACAGAGAAGAGGAAGCCCTCAGTAAGAAGGCCTTCCTGTCCATGACCATGACAGTGGGCGTGCGGGTGGCACTGGTGAGGACAGAGGTCAGATCTATGCTTCACATGCGTCATAGTTGACTGGATGACATCTGACAGCGACACCAGGACAAGAACGTGCTGGGGACAGCTTCAGGCCAGCTGGTGAGCTTCTACTCCACAGTCACCTGCAACGGGGGGTGTCTCTCAACATATTACTGCTGTCAGGTACCAGTGAGTCAATTCCGAGTCATGGTGACCCTGTGTAATGGTAAGACTGACCCACAGGGCTTCCCAAATGTCCTGTCCACACAGCATGTCACCAAGTCATGGTGACGTGTGGAACAGTAAGACTGCCCCAGTACTTAGACCACTGTGCCACCAGGACTCTTTTAGCCAATTGTTTTCCTCAGTGCGCCCCGCCCCCCGACCCCCCCGTTAGCTCACAAGGACTGAGGTCGAGACCTTGCCCGAGCACATCCCTTCCTCACCATCTGTGTGGTGCTGAGCCCGGCGTGTCAGGCAGTGTCAGTCCAGCGCACAGAGGGTCTTCCTCCCCTTTGCTGACCCTCAGAGGCACCAGCTCTGGGTGCGAGGAGTCAGGATGGGGATATATCAGACATTTCAGGGGCACAGAGAAAGAAAGCACTTTCTGGAATGAGAGAATGTTCTTCTTACTGGAGGAAATTACTGAAACTCAGACAATGGAAACCGTGAGGTCTGTGCATTGAAAGTCCATACAAAAGATGGTCAATGGGCAGAGATAGGGGCTGAATGCCTCCACCCAGCTGTGTCCAAACTCCCACAAACCCCTGTGAAAGAAGACATCCGGCAGAGAGATTGTGGCTAGAGTATTTCAAAGCAGACAGCAAAGATGTTGTAGATGGCCTTTGTTGGCATTGTCCTGTGTCACTGAGTCAATCCTGACTCCTGGAGAACCCAAGTCACAGAGGAGAGACGCCACATAGGGTGTCCTGGAGTGTAATCTTTACCAAGGGAGCTCTGGTGCCCTAGTGGGACGGAATCGTGCTGCCAACCCAAAGTTTAGTGGCTCAAATCCGCCAGCTGCTCCCAGGGGGAAGGTGGTCAGTATCCACTTTTGTCATCAACTGAAAACCTGCTGGAGGGTCAGCTATGAGTCAGTTCTAACTCAACAACACACAACAGCAATCATTACTTGAATAAGTCCCTAGGTCTTTTTCTGCTGAACAGCTAGTGGCTCTGAGCATTGGACTGTTAGTACCACCAGACCTTAAAAGCCCAAAACAAAATCCAAGGGGCCACCGGGAGAGCCTCAGGGTATGTCCACTTCCTCAGGGTGGAGGTGAGCTAGGAGAGGAGGTTGCTCCATGTTTATTTTCAGAGGAGGTGGGACCCTAGGTCTCTTCCCTCAGTGTACAGCCTGCTGGCTTCTCCCTCTCCTTGCCTGGTCCCGGAGAGATTCAGACAGACGCTCCCTAGACTACAGATCTTCAGACATGTAGGTGTTCTGAGAGGAAAGGACTCCCCTCCGTGGCTCTGAGACAAGAGCTAGATGGTGCCCAGCTGGCACTGCTGACGGCTCGAGACAGGGTCACCGGAGAGCGGACACAATGCCCAGCAAAGCTCACAAATGTAAAACCTGCCAGCTCGTGCATCCCAAAGACATGACGGAACCCGCAAGGCGCAGTCAGCCTTTGAAATGGCACAAAACTCAGCCTCGTGACTCAACCTTCAGTAGATGCTAGACAGGCCTCGAAGGGGGTCAGTATGACTGGGAAGAACCCAGCCCTTACAGCAGCCCATCAGGAGATGGAAAGGGCAGCAGTGGTCCAGGGCTGCCGCTCAGACGGAAGGGTTAACCGAAGTGAGAGCCACAGGGAGCCGATGGGAAGAGCTGTTGTAAACTACTGAAAGAAACTCACTACAATCCCAGAGCCACACGGTTCGAATCAACCAGCTCCTCTGGAGAAGGATGGACAGTCTCCTCCTGTGTGATTTACCACCTCTGAAAACCCACCAGAGGGTCAGCTGTGGGTCGGTTCCGACTGGACAGTAAACATTACAATGTAGGCATTGCGGTCAATGTTATCGTACATAAGGGGTTTGAATACTTGGGTGGAACGTCTATTTACTCTGTAAACTCTCACAGAAACCCCAGGGAAAGGCCTAGAGGTCCGAGCAGTGCGACTCTGCCGGCGTCCGCCTCAGCTGTGGGGTGCTGCAAGCCCTCCCAAGGAACAGGGAAAATCAGATCAGTAAACACACAGCCCACACCCCCACAGGAAGGGTCAGTTAAGTCGGAATTGAGTTGATGTTACCGGCCTTGATTTTTTTTAAATTTTCTTAAAAATCAAGCTAGGAAGAGTCCCAAGTTGGTATAGTTAAGTGTTTCATTTACTACCTGAAAGTGTGATGGTTAAACTCACCAAAATGCATGAAAGTGAGGCCTGGTGGTCTGCTTGCAACCAACCAGCCACTGAAAGCCCTGCAGAGCACCAGCCTGCCCTGAACCATGGGGTATGGTGAGTCAGGGCCATGGGGCACCTGCCCTCACATGTGGGGTGCCATCTGTTGGGTCACAGGTCCCCTGTCCCGACACGTGGGATACCGTGAGTTGGGGGGTCACAGGGCACCTGTCCTGACACATGGGGTACTGTGAGTTGAGGTCACAGGGCACTAGACATGTGGCGTACCATCAGTCAGGGTCACAGGTCTCCTGACATGTGGGGTACCATCAGTTGGGGTCACAGGGCACCTGCCCTGACACTTGGGGTACCATGAGTTGAGGTCACAGGGCACCAGCATGACATGTGGGAAGGTCATGGGGAACCTGCCCTGACACGTGAGGTACCGTGAGTCAGGGCCACAGGGCACAGCTGGTTGTGTGGTGCGAACTGTTTAACACCCTCCTCCACTAGATGAAAGGCAGCACAGAAATCCACCACGGTAGAAAGGGCTGGCCACCTGCTTGCAAACACCAGCCACTGACAGCCCTGTGGGCACGCTGACCCGGCATCTAGCTGGCCTACAGTTATTAAGCTGGGAAGTAGGATTAGGATTATTGATGGTAGTAAACATTTCCTCTTTCTCTTCTCTTTAGACGCCTAAATACATTGAACAAGTGTGCCTCAATGAAACTTGATGTGAACTTCCAAAGGAGAAAGGTAGGTTTCCCATCTGTGGGTGAAACAACCGGTCCTAGGCTACCGGCTGACGCCCCTCTGTATGTGTCCTCCAAGTATCTTACTGTATCGAGAGCATCCTGAACAAGTCTGTTATGAACCCAGCCTGAGTTTTGTTTTACTCCCTGTTTTCTTTTTATTTCCTTTTAATCAATGTACTTATATAAAAATAGAAAATATCTCCATTCTTCAAGCTCATTTCAAAAAATTTTGCTCTGAAGTTTCACTTTGCTTCCTTTTTTATCAACTGGCTTCCAGAAAATACCTCAGTTCTTTACAGTAATCCTTCAGAAATTTGCTCTGCTTTCACTTGAACTAGAGGGTTGCATAAAGATGTCAAATATCTTTAACTCATTCCTTCAGGTAGTCCTGCAGGAGTTTGCTAAGTAGAAGATATCATATTTTCCTCATATAACCAATGCATACATAGAAATAGTGTGCGCGTGTGTAACTCAGATAACATGTACGAGAAACTAACAAGCAAAGGATTAGGTGCTTCCAAAGCAGGATGAGGTGCACATTGCTGCATGAAAATACGGTACTCTGCAGAGGGCTCTGGACGTTTGCACAGCGTATTCGATTTCCATTGGCAGCTAATAAAAAGGTTGGTCCTTCAAATCCACTCAGTGCTTCAAGGGATGAAGATAGGCAGTATTCTCTCAAAGGTCCACACCATGCACGTGAAGCCCTCCATCAGCTGCAGGCCGGCATCAGCTTGCTGCCAGGGAGTTACGGATATATTCCTCAGTGATGGTGGTTATAGTTCCACAGTGTCAGCGTCCACAGTATTTGTATTCTGGTTGTCTCCTTTCCATTAATCTAGCTTCTCTAATCCCCCCCTCCAATGACTGAGAAGTTGTCTATATTTTAAGGTAAAAGCTAACCCTTTGGTCTGGTTTGGTTTGGTTTTAAGGAACAGCCAATCTGTTCTTTAGCTGATGGACCTCTGGGTGTGCCTTGATTACAAACCTAAAAGTGCATCCTTAAAAGGTTTCTCATTGTTGCACAGAAAAGTTCTCTCTGGTTTCACCATGGAAGATCCTCACTGGTGCTTCTTCCACCATCATTGAAGTTATTTATGTTCAGAATATGTCCCAATCACTGTGCATTGCCAGCATTGTAATCCATGTGTTTAGATGGTAATAATTTGTTTTCTGTCAGTGTTTGTTTGTTTGTTTGTTTTCTAAGTACATCTCAGTGCAGTAATGTCTGGCTTACTGGTCCATTTTTTAAATTTTTATTTTTATTATTTCTTTTTTTTTTATGTGTGTACCGTCAAATCGGACTGATACAGGAGGAGATTGTCCCTCCTTCTTCAGCAGAGCATCTGGTGGATTTGAACTGCACACCTCTGGGATTGCAGTGCAGCTTCTTGCCACTAGGCCATCAGAGCTCGCCTACTGGTCCATCTTTTTTTTTTGTGTCCATCTTTTAAGACAGTGTTCCGGTCCACAATTTTCTCCCTCCCATCCAGGGTCAGCCATTGTGTCCTGGTCAGAACGGCCACCGTCTAGTTTTTCTGCTGTCAAGGTGGATGAGTTGTGGCCAGAGTCCTGTGGACACGTGTCTGCCGGGAGTCTCTCTTTGCTTCTTTCTCGTTAGCTGCATGTGGGTGGAGACCAGTAGCTGCATCCTGAGTGGCTGCTCACGAGGGTGCAGAGGTCAACTTCATGGGCGATGCTGTGCCCACTGACTGAGCTGGTCCACAGCACCAGGTCTTCATGACCCTCTAGACAGGCTTTCAGGGGTCAGCTTGTGTCTGGAAGGTCATAGCGTGCTTAGGACTGATATGTGGAAGGAGGTGACCAGGCCTTCCTTCCTCATCCCCCTTCATTTGGATGCTTCCTTGAAGCCTATTCCCTGTCTTAGCCACACAGCCTCTGCTGACAATGGATGGTGACTGTGTCTGAGGGGGTCTTCCAAGAGGCCACTCCAGGCCTCTCCCTGGACAGTGAGGCTTCCAGCACTGAGCCCTCACCACCCCCATGGAAGTGAAATGTTGTCATTGTTGTTTTTCAGTGTAAGTCTTCAGTCTTCCATAGACCAAGATAAACTCCCAAACCAGACAGTCTGTCACTGAGTCCACACTGACTCATCTCAATTCTCCGTCAGATTTCCAAGGCTGTTCCCCTTTACAAGACGAGACTGCTCCTCCTTCTCCTGGGGCAGCTGGTGGATTTGAACCACCCACCGATTGGTTGGCTTCGTGATACCTAAGATTCATCACTAAGTGTCCCTACAGACCAAGATCCTTTAGCAATATCTGCAAAATAAGCTCTGGTTGTCGCTGTTATTGTTATGTGCTGTCAAATCATCTGCAATGCATAGTGATCCTATATACAGCAGCTCTGAACCCTGCCCTGTCCTGATCCAGTCTCACTAATTCCAACACACCAACCCCCATTGCCCCAGTCATCCCATCCCCTGAAATCGTAAAAGTTACACAGTATTCAAATACAAAGATGATGGTAGATTTAGCAGACACAGAATTACACTTCCATTCATATAATCGAAACAAAGTTGTTGATGTTGTGGTTCTGTGCCATCGAGTCACCATCAACCCCTAGCAACCTTATGAATAATAGCTCTGAAGCCTGCCCTGTCCTGAACTGGTCTCACTGACTCTGACACACGTACCCCCATTTACCCCAGTTACTTTGTCAATCCATCTCATCTGAGGTCTTCCTCTCCTATACTGTCCTTCCACCCGTCCAAGCATGATGTCCTTCTTCAAGAAATGGTCCCTCTGGCTATGAGCCCAAAGTATGTGAGAAAGAGCTTCAAAATCCTTGCCCCCAAGGAGAAAGGTGATTTCACCCTCTCCAGGCCAGATCTGTTTGTTCTCTTGGGGCTCATGGTATGTTCAATACCTTCCAGCACCACAACTCAAAGGCATCGATTCTTTGATGAGGAGGAGATGGAAGATAAACAAAGCTGAGAAGATAGAAAATAATGACAAAATCTGTTCCATTTGCCCTGCCCTGGAAGTGTCTTGCCAATTCATATGACAAATCATGCTTATGCTTAAAACGTCTTTGTTTTCCATGTAACTAACTAACAAGAAATAACGAGCAAGATAGCAACGCGCTGTCCCTCTGTGCTGATGTCCCTCCAGTGGGTGTCCAGAGGCTGTGACTCACAGGGCAGATCACCCATCTACCTGCAGAGCAAAGGGAGGATTCAAACCCCCTGGTTTTGACTTGGCAGAGCAACACCCTAACCAGTAGGCTACCAGAGCTCCATGGTAAAGTCTCCTTGTTGTTAAATGCTGTTTGATCAGCACTGACTCTAGCTGGCTCTCCAGCAGGATTTCAGAGGCAGCGAATTGCACGGGAGTCGATTGCCCATCTTCCTTCCACAGAGCAGTGGATGGATCTGAACCGTGGGCCTTTGGGTTGACAGTACCTCTCCTTACCACTAGGCCACCAGAGATCCCTTCCATCTCTTTAGTAGATGCTTGAATAAACACTGGGTAACATCTCATTGTATAAAATATTTCATGTGACAGGAACTTTTCCTTGCTAACTGTGTGATTTCAATTCTTTGCTCACAAGAGACATTTATCCCAGTCTGTGGCTTCCCTTTTTACCTTGTTGGAGAAGTTCTTGGATGTGCATAGGGATTTGATTCTTAGAAGGTCCCATTGATCTATTTTATCTTCTCCTGGTTGTAAATTTTTCAGGATACTTAGAAGACTCTTGATATTGTGGATTAGGACTACTAAGGTTCTTAGGGCATTCTGATTATCGTAAGAGCTTGGAATGAGGGTTGCAGAGTGGAGTATACTCAGGGCGAGGGTGGGAGGGGCAGGGGGATTGTGTACCAATGAAGGAGTTTTGCTTTTGCTTTTAAAGAAGAGCGAACTGGGCATGGGGGGGGGGGGGGTGGGAGAAAAGTGCAACAATGAATTAATGGAAATCCACAATCTCTGTAAATGCTCATTGAAATTAATAATAATAATAGTTTTTAAAATTTTTTTTTAAAAAAAGAGATGTGTATCTAACATGTCTCCAGGGAGATTTGCTGGGCTGACTCTAAGAAGAAAGGGAATCCCAGAACACTTGATTGTGCTTATGTAAAACCTGTACTTGGACGAGGAGGCAGTCGTCAGAACAGAGCATGGAAAACACTGCATGGTTCAAAATCGGGAAGGCTGTATGCCAGGGATGTGTCCTATCTCTGTACATTTTCAATTTGTATGTAGAACAGATCATCTGGGAGGCTGGGCTCTATGAGGAGAAGTGTGGCATGAGGATTGAAGGAAGACTCATCAACAACCTGCGTTATGCAGATGACACAATCTTGCTTGCTGAAACTGAGGAGGAACTGAAGCACTTGCTACAGAGGGTCAAAGACTGCAGCCTTCAATATGGATTGAGATTCTCAGTACTGGGCCGACTGGCAGCATCATGATAGATGGTGAAGAGATTGAGATTATTCACAGCTTTAGTTTGCTTGGCCTCGCAATCAAAACTCTTGGCATTAGCAGCCAGGAAATTAAAAGGTGAATTGCATTGGGAAAGTCTACTGTCAGAGACCTCTCCACAGTACTGAAGAGCAATAAGTTCACTCTGGAGACTAAGGTGTACCTTATACAGTCCATGGTCTTTGCTATCACTTGTTATGCATCAGAGAGCTGGACAATGATGAGGGATGATAGAAAGAGAATTTATGCCTTTGAGCTGTGATGTTGGAGAAGAGTATTTGATATACCATGGACTGCTAAGAGAATAAACAGGTTTGTCTTGGAGAGAGTTAAACCAGGCTGCTCCTTTGAAGCAAGGATTCTGAAACTTTGTCTGACATACCTTTGTCATGTTGCAAGGAGAGCCAGTCCTTGGAGAGGGGTTCATGCTTGGTGGAGGGACATCACTGGAGAAGAAGACCCCGATGAGATGGATTGATTCAGTGACTGGGGTAATCGGGTGTGTCAGAGATAATGAGATTGGCACAGGATAGAGCAGGGTTTAGGGCTGTTGTAAGTTGGGTCATGAGTCGCACATAACAACAACAACAGTGCTAAGAAGCTGTGCTGCAATCCCAAAAACACATAGTTTGAGGCCACCAGCTGCTCCCCAGGAGAAGGAGCAGAAATCTATGGTGGGTTAACTGCCCTGAAAACCCACCGGAGGGTCAGCTATGTGACAGGCTCTGAACACAACATCAAGTTCTCTATGTTTCGTTTTAAATGTAAAGCACATTCGTAGGGCACGCCAGTCTTTAGTCATTAGTGTTCAATGCCTCTAATTTGAGATGATTTTTAAATTCAGGTGGGATAGACTCAAGGTTCTACTCTCATTCGCTTTCTTCAGCTTCAGCTTGAATTTATACTTGAGGCTGATAATCTGTTCCACAATCAGCACCTGCTCTGGTTTTAGCTGCTGATACTGCTTTTCTCCAATGAGTCTTTCCACAAATACCATCAATCTGATTCCCGTGCAGTCCATCAGGTCAGGTCCACACCTTTTGGGATTTTTTTAAAAAGCATTTTCTATGAATAAATCACTGACTATACAAAAGTCAATCCTCTTATCTCCAGCCTCATTTCTGTCACCAAGTCCATACCTTCCAACACCATTCCTTCCATGTTGTTTCTAATTTTGTGTTTCAGTTACCAGTAAATATTAGTGCATCTTGTTTGGTCAATTTCAGACTGCAAAAGTTGATAGAAATCCTCTGTTTCCACATCTTCAACTTGAGTTGTTGGTGTATATGTTCGAGTAATAGTCATATTAACAGTTATTTAGTTGTTGGTACAGATATTTGATGGATGGAGAGGAGATTGAAACTGTTAACAGCTTCATCTTGTTTGGATCCACAATTAACACCCTTGGTACCAACCATCAGGAAATAAGGAAACATACTGCACTGGGAAAGTCTGCAGTTAGGGACCTCTCCAAATTATTGAGGAGTAATGATGTCAGTTTGAGGACTAATGTGGGTCTAATTCAGGCCATGGTCTCTCTGATAACTTGCGATGCATCTGAGAGCTGGACAGTGAATAAGGATGACAGAAGAAGAACTGATGCCTTTGAGCTGTAGTGTTGGAGAAGAGCACTGAACATCCCATGGATGGCCAAGAGAATGAACAGGGTTCAGATATTTTGTTCACAGGGTCGCTATGAGCTGTACTTGACTTGACATCACCTAACAACAACAACAACAACATATTTGAAGAATAGTTATATTAACTATTATTGAAATAAAAGAGCTGAACAGAAGATTTCAAAGGGATGCTTGAGAATGCAAAGTAAAATATTATAAGAAAATGTGCAAAGAGCTGAGGTCAGAGGAAAACAGTCGGTACCGGCTAGATTGCATGCGATAATATGGAAGACAGGTTTTCAAAGAACAAACAAAATGAGAAAATCTGTTCACTTTTCCTTGAAAGCACAATATATTGCTAAGTGCTTGGCTTCTAACGGAAAGGTTCCACGTGCAGACACCTCAGAAGAAAGGCTTGTTGGCCTCTCCCCAGAGTACTGCCACTGGAAACCATGTTGGCACCATTGTAGTGACCCTCACTGGGTCACCGTGTGTCAGAAAAGCTCAGCTGTTGTTTAAGGGGGAGGCTGCTTGCATGTCATGATGATGTTGTTGTTATGTGTCATCAAGTCACCTACACCTCATACAGCAGATCTGAAGCCTGCCTGTCCTGAGACAGTCTCACTGACTCCAACACACCTAAACCATCGCCCCACCTACAGTGTCAGTCCATCTCATTTGGGTCTTCCTCTCCTGCTCTGTCCCTTCACCCTTCTAAGCATGATGTCCTCCAAGGATCCGTCCCTCTTGACCACATGCCTGAGTATGTGAGACAGAGCTTCAGAATCCTTGCCTCCAAGGAGAAACATGGTTTCATCCTCTCCAAGACAGACCTGTTTGTTCTCCTGGCTGTCAATGGTATGTTCAAGACTCTTCTCCAGCACCACAGCTCAAAGGCATCAGTTCTTCCATCATCCTTACCACTAATCCACCAGAGAGAGAGGGGTGTTGATGGGGGGGTAGGTAGGTAGATCTGTAACGATATAGATACCTGCACCAATAAAACACAACACTCCACTCACTGGAGTAAGTTGGAACTGACTCGTAGCTGACCCTCCAGCAGGTTTACAGAGGCTCTAAATGACATGGTTTTTTGTCTATTTTTCCATTTGTAAACCACATGATTATCCATGTTTCTCCTACAGAACAGGTATTGGATTTGAACCACATGCCTTTGGGTTGGCAGTGCAACTCCTTACCCACTAGGCCACAGTTACTGTTATGTGTTGTCAAGTTGCTTGCAACCTATAGCAACCCTATGTACAACAGCTCTGAACCATGCTCTATCTTGAGCCAAATTCATTGTCTCTGACACCCATTATTCCAGTCACTGAGTCAATCCATCTCATCCAGGGTCTCCTCTCCTGCTCTGACCCCCCACTCTTCCAAGCATGATGTCCCTCTCCAAGGACTCCTAGCAATATGCCCAAAGTATGCCAGATGAAGCTTCAGAATTCTTGCCTCCAAGGAGCAGCCTGGTTTCACCCTCTCCTCTGTATGTTCTTTTAGCAGTCTATGGTATGTTCAATACTCTTCTCCAGCACCATAACTCAATTGATTCTTCTGTCATCCTTAGTCATTGTCCATCTCTCTGATGCATAGCAAGTAATTGCAAAGACCATGGCCTGGATCAGGCACACCTTAATCTCTAAACTGACATCATTACTCTTCAATACTCTGGAAAGTTCCCTGACAGATTTTCCCGATACAGTTTGTCTTTTGATTTTTATTTCCCCTAGCTGTTGGTACCAAGAGTGTTGATTTTGGAGCCAAGCAAGCTAAAGTTGTTAATAATCTCAATCTCTTCACTGTCTATCTTGATGCTGTTAATCGGCCCAGTGGTGAGAATCTTTGTTGCCTTGATGTTGAGCTTCAATCCATATTGAAGGCTGCAGCCCTTGACCTTCGGCAGCAAATGCCTCAGGGCCTCTTCAGTTTCAGCAAACAAGGTCGTGTCATCTGCATAATGCAGGTTGTTGATGAGTCTTCCTCCAATCCTGATGCCACATTCCTTCTGATAGAGCTCAGTATCCCAAATTATCTGTTCCACATATAATATAGATTGGAAAGGTATGGAGACAGATTGTATCCCTGGTGTACACCTTCCCTGATTTTGAACCGTGAAATGTTTCCTTGCTTTGTTCTGACGACTGTCTCCAGGTCCAGGTAAAGGTTTTGCACAAGCACAATCAAGTGTTATGGATTTCCCATTCTTCTCAGAGTTGATGTTGGAGGGTAATAGCTAGTGATGGAGGGTCCGACCACCAGTGGGAAGGATGGCAGTCCAGATCTACCTGGAAGCCCAGTGGGAAAGACCTGGTGTCCTGCTTCCAGCAAGATGGCTGTCCAGGAGGCCCGGTGGGCAGCCCCTTGTCCCCTGGGGCCACCACCATGCAGTGACACAGGCACACAAATCCTTGCCTCTTTGTCTTCCAGGGTGAAGACTCCGACGACGAGGACCTCTGCCTCAGTCACAAATGGACTTTCCAAAGGGCCAGCCGGAGATGGTCTCGCGTGGACGACCTGCCCACGCTCTTCCCAGGAGGGGACGACAGAGATGGGTCTGCAGGCGACATTAGGATAAAGACCACGCCGAGCAGTGAGAGTGTGCTGACCGAGCTGAGTGAGCCCGAGGTGTCCTCCGTACACAGCGGCAGCAGCGGGGGCAGTGAGGGCCCACTCCCACCGGATGCCTCCCGGGACCTCACACAGTACCCTCCACACCCCAAGAATGAGAAGCCAGGGAAGACCAGGGCCAAGTCTCTTCTGAGACGCATGGAGACCCTCCGAGGTAAAGGGGCGCCCAGCAGGCACAAGGGGCCGGGGCCTGGGGTCCTAAGTGGGCTTCAGCTGCCCAATGGCGACCTCCGGAACTCACCACGCCCAGGGGTCTCCCCGCAAGGGCCCTCACACTCCACCAAAGGCGGCAGCAAGTTGGAGCCTAGCAGTTGCAGCAGCAGGCATGGCGCCACGGGCCTGCAGGACCAGAGAGGTCGCGAGTCCAGCAAGAGGGGTGGCATGTACCTGGATGACCTGGACGTGCTGGCCAGCACGCTGAGAGGCTCTAGTGAGTGGGGAGCCAGCGAGCAGGGCCCCGCGCATGCCTTCCGCTCCCAGGAGAGCCTGCTCGTGCATATCCCCAAGGACCACAAGCCGGGGACCTTCCCCAAGGCGCTGTCCATCGAGAGCCTGGCTCCAATGGACAACGGCTACCAGGGGGCCTGGACAGGTGGAAGTGTGGCACTGGGGGCACAGCAGGACCCCAGCACCAGACCGCCCCAGCTAGTGGCCACCTGTTCCCGAGAGAGCCGCGCCAGCATCTACGACAATGTGCCTGGCAACCACCTGTATGCTAGCACTGGGGACCTGCTGGACCTGGACAAGGACGTTGTCTACCCAGGCCTGGATGACATCCTGCAACAAGTCAACGGGATAAAGGATGTGGTCAATGACTGGTCCAGGGACCTCCTGCCCGACCTGCAGCCCCCTGATGGGCCCGGGGCACCTGGCACGTCCTTGCTCCCATCCCTGCACCCGGTCCCCCTGGACTTCGAAGGGACCTCCGCCTCTGAAGGCCGGACCACCCCCAGCGATGTGGACAGAGATGGAGCGTCGCTGATGGAGGCCGAAGCCCCCGGGGTCAGAGAACGGCGGGACTCTGGGGTCGGGGCCTCACTGACCAGGCCCAGCAGGTGGGTGGCCCCCAGCATCCCTACCTTTCTGTCCCTGGCTTTGTGTCAGTGTGCTTCTGTGTCATTTTTAATCAAACACTATTACATGATTTATTACTTTATTATTGATATAATTGTTGTTGTTGTTGTTATGTGCCGTCGAGTCACCTGCGACTCATAGCGACCCTATGTACAACAGCCCTAAACTCCGCTCTGTCCTGTGCCAATCGCACTGTCTCTGACACTCCCATCCCAATTATCCCAGTCACTGAATCAATAGTAGTCTTTAAAACATTCCTATTTAATTAATTATCCTTTTTATATTTGTATATTACTAATCAGTTTGTTTATTTCTTGAATAATACTCTACTTTTGGGTCTTGGAATACTCTTTAAACCACTTCCTATTCAATCTGTTTTATTTACTAGTTTGGTTTATTATTTTTCTTTTTTTTTCTCATTATACTGCTGCCAGAGTTTATAAATCATATTGGCTTTTCATTCACATGCATTTTGCCCTATGCCATTGTAATTACAATTTCCTCAGATCATGCATGCATGTTTTCTCTAATATTAATTACCATTGATTGACATCATTCATTAACTGCAGTAGCTAATCAATCCCTTATTGTAGACTGCTTTTCCTTTCACCCAGCTTACCTATTAATTTTTTTAGTGAAGGTTTACAAATCATACTGCTTTTTCATATAATCATTCATAGATTATTTTGGTTTTGGCCTTAGTTTTAAAATTTCTGTTGCATATTCTGTTGGTTTATTAATCTGTTTATGCAGGTATGTACGTGACAAATGTGCTGTATGCACGTCCTGCCTCTCCCTTCCTCTTCCTCTCCCCCTCCTCTCTCTCCTCCCCCTCCCTCTCTCATTCTCTCTCCTCCCTCCTCCTCGCCCTCCTCCCTTCATTGCCTGTCTCCCTCCCCTCCCTCCCTCTTCCTCCCTCCCCTCCCTCTCCTTTAACAGCCATTCTCCTCTCCCTCCTCCTTTACTCCCCCTCCCTCCTCCTCCTCCCTCTCCCTCTCTTGCCTGTCTTTTTCCCTCCCTCCCTCTCTCTCCCTTTCTCCCTCCCTCTTCCTCCCTCCCTCCCTCTCTCTCCCTCTCCTTTTACACTGTCTTTCCCCCTCCTCTCTCTCCTTTGCCTTTTCCTCCTCCTCCTCCCTCTCCTCCCTCTGTCCCCTCCCTCTCTCTCCCTCTCCTTTTACCCCCTCTCTCCTCCCTCTCTTGTGGCCTCTCCTCCTTCCTCCCTCTCTTGTCCTCCCTCTCCCTCCTCCTGCCCTCTCTTTTCTTATCTTCTCCCCCTCTTTTTTCTCTCTCTTCCATCTCGTCACCTGCACACCCCCTTTATTTCTCCCCCTTCCTCTTTCTCCTCCTCTGTTTCCCTGTCTCTCCCTCTCTTTTCCTCTCCCGCTTCTTGTACCCCCCTTCCTCTCTCTGTGTCTGTCAGTCTAAAATATTTCCACACTTTGAGAATAAACATGGGCCCAAACACCCACAACCTGTGCCATCACCTCAGCCTCCTCATGACACAAGTAAAGATCACTTTTCTCAGGTGAATGAGGCTCGGAAGCAGCAGTACTGCCTGTGTTCCCTGGCCTGTGTCCTGTGTCCCCTGGCCTGTGTCCTGTGTCCCCTGGCCTGTGTCCTGTGTCCCCTAACCTGTGTCCTGTGTCCTCTGACCTGTGTCCTGTGTCCCCTGGCCTGTGTCCCCTAACCTGTGTCCTGTGTCCTCTGACCTGTGTCCTGTGTCCTCTGACCTGTGTCCTGTGTCCCCTGGCCTGTGTCCTGTGTCCTCTGGCCTGTGTCCTGTGTCCCCTGATCTGTGTCCTGTGTCCTCTGACCTGTGTCCTGTGTCCTCTGACCTGTGTCCTGTGTCCTCTGACCTGTGTCCTGTGTCCCCTGGCCTGTGTCCTGTGTCCCCTGATCTGTGTCCTATGTCCTCTGGCCTGTGTCCTGTGTCCCCTGACCTGTGTCCTGTGTCCTCTGACCTGTGTCCTGTGTCCCCTGACCTGTGTCCTGTGTCCCCTGGCCTGTGTCCTGTGTCCTCTGACCTGTGTCCTGTGTCCCCTG